TTAGTAAAGTGTTGAGGTTCAAGCAAGTGGCAGAAAATCTGGGAAGTTTGCATTTATAGTAGAAAACATAATTACCATGAAACAAAAAGGAAAAAAAGAAAAGCTCTTGCATTCATAGAGAAATTTTCCTTTAAATTTCAGAGCTGTCCTGTGCGCTTCCTATGCGATTCAGAAAAGAGATTTGCATTGGATCCATAGAATGCTTATATCATGTTCAAATTCTTTAGTGCAGTAAGGCTATCATTCCTGTACGGATTTTTATTATTTTTTTTCTATGGACTCGAAAAGAAAACAACAACAACAACAATATTTAAAAGACAATGATAAAAGCATGTTATTTTTCTAAATACGGAGTATAAAAATATAAACTTTACAATGGGAACAAAACACTGACATCAATCTCGGGAAATATCAAGCAGCAATCTCTCTCAGTCTCTCTCCCCCCTTTATTTAACCCCGGTTCTCGATAAGCAACGAAATCCGCGTGGATTTATACTGAAATTACAAGAGTGTCATCAACTTTCAGCTCTAATCTCACCTCTCAAAAGGAAAAAACACGCACGCAGTAGAGAGAGAGAGAGAGAGGAGAAGGCACCTTGGTCGAGGGATGAAGAAAAAGATGAAGGTCCTTCGCTGACAGACTCCCGGGAAACAGAAATTCCGGCAGCATCAAAATCCATCATATGGAAGAGCATGAAGGTGATTGGGATGAGGAGAGGAGGAGGGGGAGAGGCGCTCCTTCTTCCATCAGCAACACCGCAAACACGCCGGAATTTCCATTGATCCCGGCACCACCACCAAACGCTGCCCCGGTCCCCTTGATCAAATGTTGCTAGCAAGGAGACGAGAAGAAGGAAAGGGAAACAGAAGCAGAACGACAAAATAGGGGGAAAATGGAAAAGAAAAGAAAAATTGAGAGAGAGAGAAGAAGCGTTCTCTCCTCACCACACAAAACCAGGGGAGAGAGAGAGAGAGAGTGAGTGTGAAAGATAGAGAGAAGATGAAAGAGAAGAGAATCAAAGCCAACCATCCACTCCCAAACAGACACACTTTCAGAGAGAGAGAGAGAGAGAGAGAGAGAGAGAGTTCACTATTTTTACCCTCACCCCTGCGTCACAACGCCCAAGTGCCCAACGCTCTTCGTCACGCCACTCGCGCGCGTATCTCGCCCCGCCACCTTCCCTTTTCGGATCCGGGTCATTGTACATGAAAAAAGGAAAACTAGTTAAATGTGTGAATTCCATTTTTGGTCTTACTATTATAGGGGTGTTTCCAATTTTAGTCCACCTTAATTTTTTTTGTCATTTTATAACCATTATTATTGAATGTGTTCCACTTTTAGTCCCACCGTTAGTATTTCCATCAAGAAGCCGTGTAATCTAGGGGTATTTTGACATTTCTTCTCATCCAAGACTATGTTAGACTAAAGAAATGAGAACATTAAACCTAAAACCTAAGAAACCTTGCCGGCCCATGTTGGAACGAACGAAACGATGTAGCTTTGGTTTCCCATTCTCGTTGTTCGAAGAGCCATATTCGAATATCGGAGGAGGAGGACGAAGCGCCTAGATTAAAAGAGAAGAGACAAACATAAAAAGACTAAAATACCCTTTGATTATACGGCTTCTTGACGGAAATATTAACGGTGGACTAAAAGTGGAACACATTTAATAACAGTGGCTGTAAAGTGGCAAAAAAAATTAAAGTGGACTGAAATTGGAAACGCCCCTATAACAGTATGACCAAAAATGGAATTCACTCTAGTTAAATTATGCAATTGGGTTTCTTAAATAAAAAAAAAAACTAATTTAGCAGATTATTTCTTTAAAAATTTGATATGTGTTTTTTTAAATATATTTATTAGAAATTAAGAAAATAACAAATTTAAAAAAATTATTAAAAAAAAAATTACAGCACAGGTTGTCCTCGTCGGACAACTAATGTTGTCCAAGCACCACGACAGCGATGGCCGTCTAGAACGAGGGCACCGGAGGTTTGAGATGGCAATAGCCGCCATCTTCTAGATCTGAACCTCTTGATCATTGTTATTGTGATCACTATTAAGCTATTGTGTCAAGACTTGCAATCAAAATAGGGATTACAATCTACTAAAAATATGTCAATTGTGGATAAAGTTGGTATTTTGTATACGCGCTTGCTATGGGTGCTTCAAATAGGGCAGTCAAAGAGTGTTTCAACATTCTGTCGACACAATTAGTAGAGCATTTCACGTTGTTTTGAAAGCAATCCTATCACAATTGCTTTCAAAACATCATGAAATGCTCTACGTGGTGGTGGAACAAACAAACATGACCCTAAGATAAACGAAGAACCAGTTACCCGTGCCAACACATGAGCCACATGATTCGCTGACCGCTTGACACGGCGAACGGACACGTTCCTAATGTCACTAGCAATATCACGACATTGCTTTACAATCAAACCTGTATACGAAAGGTCTAACAAGTACAAATTAAAACTAGTACAAAAATTAAGGCAATATGTTTTAATAACTAAATTAACAAAAAGACAATACTTTAACCAAGAAAGAGCTTCCTTCACCGTCATGGATTCAGCCAACAGAGGGTCGCGATCACAGTTTAGACGAGCAACGTAAGCAACCACAAACTGTCTAGCATGATTTCGCACAATTGCACCAAATCCTACTCCATTCGCAAAAATTGCAGCGTCAAGTAAATAAACTAAGTTGATCTAAACTTTTTTCAAGTAAAAAATGTAACTTCCCATACTTCAAATTGTCATGAAAGTTTAAACTTTATTAACTATAAAACAATTTCAATGTAAAGATAAAATCTGTAATCACATAAGTAATTATTATAATGATATATTTAAAACAGCAGTCTTAAATTATATTATAATATACTTTATTGTTATTTATACCTCAATCATTTGTGCTAATTTAAGTAAATCATACCGAGACAGAGCTCAGAAGTGCACAAAGCTTATTTAGTCACAAACAACATTAATGTTTACTTAGAAAGTTAGGATGATAACAACGTTTTACTAGCCACAAAACTAACTTTTATCGTCTGATAAAGAAAGAAAGTAAAAACGTGACACTACACCGCATGTCAGTACATATAATCATATATGCATCATAGAACAGCCTCATGTTTCTGGATTATTCCATGAAATCATCCACAGTTAATGTACAAAGACTTCTCTGATGACAACTACAATCAGGCTAGCTAGCACTTCCAATAGAATATAATTACAAAAAAAAAAACAAAAACAAAAACAAAAAACAAAATCTCTGTATGTTGGGGTGTAGTAAAATTTATTAATTAAATTAATATAATTTTATTAAAATCATAAAGTGAATAATCGGTTTTCTATGGATTATACTGCAAGGCAGCGGCAAATTACACACCATTATAGACAATAAAAATTAAAACAAAGCAACAGCAACCCATCAGGCAAATTGATCAGACTATTAGTTTAGTAACAAACAAATTTGAAATTTGACTCTCAGTAGACTTAATTGGTTTGAAGACATATTTGACTATTTTCCAAATGATACTAATGAAAATGTTTATGCCATCAAAGTGAAATTTTGTTATAATATCTATTCTTTATCCCTATCTCTATCTCTATCTCTATCTATGTTAAAGCAAAATGGAATAGGTGAAAATTTCCCCGCCCAACAAAAACGACGGCGTTTTAATCGAAGTTTTTAAAGGTTTGACCGTTAATCGAACCGAACTTTGTATTACCGAATTAACGGAAATGTTTTTTTTTTTTTGGATTAATCGGCCAATTACAAGTTTTTTAAGCTAAAATTTTAAATTTTTAAAATAATACCCATAATAATAAATTCAATTAAAATAATACCTATAATAATAAATCAATAAGAAAATATACAAACACAATACCATAACAATACTATAAACATAAAAACACAAATTATAAAGTCCAAACATCATATATATTTAATTATTTATATATCTATATTTAAAATTTTATAAAGTCCAAACATCATATATATTTAATTATTTATATATCTATATTTTAAATTTCAATTGACCGATAGTTTCAAACTAAATTAACCGTTAATAAAATTTTTACAAATCCTTTAATCATTAATCGAAGGGAGGAAAAATGACACTTTTTTCCCCTGAGTTATATACTTATAGTACTTTTCCCCCCTCAATTATTCAAGTGGCTGTTTTTCCCCCTAAAATGTTAAATGGACATATTTACCCTTAAAATAAATATTTTATTTATTTTTCTTCTCCAACAAATTATGACCATAATTTGGTTCAAACCAAATAAACAATATAGCAACCAAACCGAAATATTCCAATTACAATTTAGAATCGAAACTCGATATTTAGAGTTTATTAAAATTCCGGAACAGACGATTCATGTTCCGAACTGAAAAAATAAAATACATTTATTGTTGAATTTAGACTATTTTAAAATAAAAATAAAATTTTAAAATAAAAACGGTTCAAAATCGCGAGTCGGGTCTGGAACCGCCGGTTCACGGTTCAGAATCCAATTTTTTTGATTCATAACTTTAATAAATTGAAATCCAAATATTGGGTTCTAGATCTGAATCATAACCGAAAACTTTTAATTCGATTGCTATAGTGTCCGATTCAGTTCGAACCGAATCGTGGCCATCCCTACGTATACGCAATAATTTGTTGGAGAAATACAATAAATAAAATGTTTATTTTAAGGGTATAAATGTCAATTTAATATATTAGGGGAAAAAACCACCACTTTTAGAATAATTGAAGGGGCTAATGTGCTTACCTAAATAATTGAGGGGAAAAAAGTACTATAAGTATATAACTCAGCGGGAAAAAGTGCTATTTTCCCTTAATCGAATAAAAAATTTTCAATTAAAGAATGATTAATCAAATTTTAACCAAAATTTACACACCCCTACATTTCCTATTGTTATTTATGATATAAATATAAATCTGGCTATGGGTACTGTAATTTTAATATGGTACGGAGTAATTCATTTTGTCATTCAAGTAAAAAAAAAGGTGGATTGTTATCCATTTTCACTCCTAGCGAGTAGCGTCTATGTGTGGTCTGCATATACTAATCTCCTTGCCGAGAGCTTCCGCCGGTGATGGATAGTATGGTGGTGCACAGTTTAGCACCGCCGCATGTGCGGCCGCCGGTCTATGACTTCAGAAGAGGCCCTTTCGCTAAAACTACAAACGTAAAAACATCTTCCAACAGCGTTATACAATTGCATCATTCCCAATTTCACTTCAATTCACAGAAACCACTATTCATTGGTCCCAGCAACGATTCCGGTTGTTCTTCCAGTTCCGCGCTCTATTCCAATGTTTCTTCTCCAACTGCTCGTAAGTATCTTGTGAATTTTCTCTATAATCTGCTGCTTCAATTAATTAACTGAATTTTATTTCATTACAATTATGTTTAGTTTGACAGTATAGACTATAGAGCTCATAAAAAAACACAAATTACCATATTAATTTTCAGTTGTGTAATGGATGCATCATTAGGTCTTCTTCTTCTTCTTCTTCTTCTTCTTCTTTATTATTACTAGTTCAATATTAATTTTGTATGGAATAATGTGATGTATGGTTCAAATGAAGGTGCGACACCTGAGGTGGATGCAGTCAGCAGCAGTGAAACAGGGACAAGGGAATGGGCTATGCAAGGTAGCTACGCTATTCCAACTACCTTATCTGTATAATTGTTCTATTTACATGTGTTGTGATCTACTAGTATGTCTCAAATGCTTTGATGGTTGGATAACAGATTTCTATATTTTGAGAAAGGATGTCGAGGTTGTCTCACAACGAGTCGAAGAAATTAGGGCTGCTGCGGGGCTGCAGCAACTGGAAGAAGACATTGCAGCTCTAGAAGCAGCAGCAGCAGATACCGCTCTCTGGGACGATCGTGCTAGAGCTCAACAGACACTTCAGGGTTTGACTGATGCCAAAGAAAAATTAAAGCTTCTCAATGACTTCATGACACAGGTTTGAACTTCTCATCCCTTTGCTCTGTCAATTCTAACTGAAGTACCGTAACTTCATACTGAGCAAGGACATAGCTGCATGGTTTCCGTCCAAAACATAAGGAAACCTACAGTTGAACTGTGTCAAAAGAACACTTCAATGTGATCAATGCTTAATCCTGGTGCAAAACTCCTTATGCTTGTACACTCAATTGAATTTGCTCTGGTTCACACCAACGTTTGATGTCCTTGCAGAAGAACATAGTACATAAAATAGGACCTATTCAATGTCAATGGCTTTATTTATGCAATGTAACTTTTTTCTTGCTCTTATCCGTACCTTTATAAATTACGGAGTATTTGACCATCTATTTCTGCTTATAAATGGTATGCAAATTATGTTGAGAAATGGATAAAGATCAGCTAAGTATTTTTCTTCCAGTAAGGTTTCGTTGGCAACATAGACAATGGTTAAGTATGAAAAGGTCCCTACTTCTTTACACCAAGTGCAAACGATAGTAGGATTCCTTCTAGGGATTTATATCTTGCTTCGATCTGTCTACTTATTTTGGTAAGGAAAATTTGCATTTTACAGAAACCAATATCCATAATTTTGACACTTCAAAAAAAAAAAAATATCCATAATTTTGAGAGCAAAATATGGTCTCCTGGGATCTTTCTGTTTCCTTGTTTCACCTACCAGACCCCTAAAACTTGGAAATAAACAGTTCATGACACTTCAAAACATTAAATATCGGATTGACAACACATAAGAAAATGAGTGCAAGGATAAGTTATATGGTAGTGGAGGTGGGTGTTATCAACTAGTCAGCAAGTAAATTGGGTGTAGTATAGGATAGATTGGACTGTCTCATTCAAGACTGGATCTGTGTGGTATGCCGTTGTGGAAATATTTTGGAGATTAGCAGCACTGAAGTGACAATATTTGTCTTGTGGAAATATTTTCAATATTGAATGCATCAATCATATATCTTCTTCTTTTCATAAGTCTCACTCTATCTATCTGTACAGGTTTATGGGGCTTTTTGCTGATGAATTTGGATATAATATTTTAGTAGCTTGATTTATGCAGTGGAACTCATAGATTATGTTAAATTTGAATTTTTCACATCTGCAGGTTGGTGATGCAGAAACAATAATTAACCTTACTGAGGAGATGGACTCCATTGATACAGGGCTTCTTGAAGAAGCTGCTGGTATAATTAAGGAATTGAACAAAGCGTTGGATCTTTTTGAGCTGACTCAGCTTCTATCTGGGCCCTACGATAAAGAAGGTGCTGTTATTACCATTACAGCTGGTGCAGGGGGCACTGATGCACAGGTAATATACTAATACTGAATGTCATGTAAGGGCTTCAATTTTCAATTTTCAAGTTTTTTTTTTTTTTTTTTTTTTTTTTTTTTTTTAAATTGTTATTTTTTATTGGATTCTATAAATTAACTGGACCTAGTTGACAACAGGTTTGTAATTAGCTTCAAATTAATTGTTTATCTCTTGCTACAAACCGTAACTTAATGAAGAAAAGCACACCTATGAACTGACAGTATTCGGATTCATCATAGCGCCTAGTCTCCTACCAAGTGGAAATATAAACAACCATCTCCATCACTAAAAGTTATAGAACATTGTAACAGGGTTGAGCATTGTATGTTTCCTTGCGTACCATCACACATCAACATCAAATAAATTGTGGGATTAGGTTATTTTCAATCCAATGTCTTTCTTTCTTTTCAGGTATTCAGTTCATGAATTTCAGCCATAGTTCACCAAAAAGAAAATTTCCCAATGCACTTAAACATCTATTACCTGGAAATGTCAAATGTGTACATGGTTTAGTGAGCAATTAAGATATTAGTATGTTGTAAATCATTGTGAAAGGGAATCATTTTGAGAGAAGACATAGAGAAGACATCTTTGTATTTCTTCATAACTGTGTATATCATCAACTAACAATGAGCTAACAAAAACTGGATGGCATTCACAAGGGACTGAAGGAACACATCAGTTAAGGGCCTGTTCTGTGATGGGAAAATACTCAAAACGAACTGTCTTTCTTTATGAAACCTCTATTTTCTAGTTTTCCACTCCAATATAGGAAGTTGAAAAAAAAACCCTAAAAAGTCAATTTCCTTATTCCCTTAGTAAGTGAGTTGCATTATTCTGTCTGTTTTCCAAAATGGAAAGTTTCATGTGAACCACCAGCCCACATCTTACCACCATTTTTGTTACTGCTCAGCTCACCCAACTAGCATTGCCACTCCACCCACCACATTTCTCAACTACCATCACTGCACTTATATTTTTACAACTCAAGAGAATGCTTTCTGGTTTTCTGATGGAAAATTAAAACTGTAAAAGGAAAACAGAAAGCATTTTCCACTACTAAGCAAGCCCCAACTTGACTGTCTTGGAGATAGTTCTGTTCGAGTGACCCAATTCTTTATTAAAAGTATATCGCAAGTGTCTTTATATGGGAGCATACTTATTACCTCCCAGGTAGCCTGCCACTTCAAAAAGTAGTTACTACAACTGTTATGCATGACTTGGGATTTCCAAGTTAATATCTTTGAGGATCCTCCTTCAGGTCCAATTTTAATCAGTATTGCATGCAATTTGTTCTTTTTATAGTGTATCATGTCAGAATTTTGATTTGAATAGATGTGGTCTATCGTTTTTAGATAAAAGATTGATGATATAATTCTTGTTTTGCTTTGTGAATATTTTGATGAATTCCAGTGCAGGATTGGGCTGACATGCTTCTCAGGATGTATGTGAGATGGGGAGAGAAGCAGCGGTACAGAACCAAAGTAGTTGAGAAGTCTCCTGGAGAAGAGGCTGGGATTAAATCAGCTACAGTTGAAGTTGAAGGTCGATATGCATATGGTTATTTATCTGGAGAGAAAGGAACCCATAGAATTGTGCGACAATCTCCTTTCAATGCTAAAGGCCTTCGCCAGGTAACCATAGTGTGTTAATTCTCGGTATCCTTGTTAACTAAAATGTACGGACTGACATTGTTGATGTGTTTGGTAATTTTTTCGAACTAGTACCCTGTACATGTTAGGATCCTGTATAATAACAGAGTTAAAAATTTACATCTTTAGTTTCTGTGTCAGTTCAAAGCTTTACATTTTGCATCATATCCTGCATTATCACCAGCTACGGGCAAGCATTTAATGTACCTTTCATTATATGAATCCCCTGTTTTACTGTTGCTATAGTAACAAATGCACATCACAGGAATTTTCAAGGCCAAACTTTCACTCCTGAACTGTCACTAATTTCATTCTTTCTTCCTCTCATCCCCCCTTTATAGATTTTGTTTAAGAGCTCATTAACTGTCTGTTTATGAATGTTTTTTTTCCCTTCTGTCCCTTCCTTGCCTCACTTCTTCTGCACTTCATTTTTTCTCTTTCGTTGAAGAGGTTGGCGATTGGGGTGCTCTCCCGTTCTCCTTTAAAAAAATTTCATGTCAGATCATTGGATCAACTGTAACTCATGTTGGTTCTCTGCAGACAAGCTTCTCTGGTGTCGAGGTCATGCCTCTTCTTCCCGAGGACTCAACAGATGTCGAAATACCAGATGAAGACTTGGATATCAGTTTTACCAGAGCAGGCGGGAAAGGAGGTCAAAATGTTAACAAGGTTGAAACAGCAGTGCGCATTACACATATCCCCACTGGTGTAGCCGTCCGTTGTACAGGTTTGCTCCACAAAACTTCTCTTTTCACTAATTATGATTCCATATACCCTTCTCTACTGCTCTGTAAAAGAAGAGATGTAATTACCATGTCCCTGTCGGGATCTTTCCATAATATGCCATTTTAATGATCTGATCACGTATCTTGTGAAATTTAAAATGCTGAACTTCTTCAGAAGCTATTCTGCAATTCCCAATAATTACTCCGTAGATCTTTTGGTAGCCAAACTATCTCCTCTCTCTTTGATCTGGTCTCTTGATTGAATTAACTATTGATCTTGTCATGCAGAAGAGAGAACACAACTAGCGAACAAGATAAAGGCTCTGAGCCGATTGAAAGCCAAACTGCTAGTCATAGCCGAGGAACAAAGAGCGTCTGAAATAAAGCAAATAAGAGGGGATGCGGTGAAGGCAGAGTGGGGGCAACAAATACGGAACTACGTGTTTCATCCTTACAAGCTGGTGAAAGATGTTCGGACCGGGTATGAAACTTCAGACATCACTTCTGTAATGGATGGGGAGCTAGATCCCTTCATTAGATCCTTCCTCAAGTACAAGTACAGCATGTCAATGTCCTCTGGTGGAGAATAGATTCTGTGCAAAGTTGAGTAGTCTCATCAGTCATTAGTACTCCCCAAAAATCCACCAAAATGGGGATGCCATGGAAGTTTTGGTGTATCAATCAATTGCAGTGTGATGAAATAACAATTTATATATAATAGGGAAATCTGCCATTTGTTGTGTGTTCATGGTGAGATTTCACCCACTCACGACCTGACCCCTTTGATCGATGTTCTCAAAAGAAAAACTTATGTCAATTGCATTTTACTTACTAAAATTACTTCTTGTTTGGGATAATTTCAATTAAGTTGGTCATACTGTTAAGTTTAGTAACCACAAAGTTACAAGTTGAATTTTTAATAGGAAGTTTCTTGATTTAAACCGGTCAATTATGAATTATTTAAGTTGATTTATGTCTTTGTGGTCTTTTATGGATTAGGATTGCAAGGCAGGATAATCACCTTCAGCTTTTAAGTAGTAACTAATAAGTGTAGCAGTAAAACTTTTATAACATGTTTTGAGCTTATTAGAAAAAGAAAAGAGAAGGAAAAAATTGGTTACATAAAAAAATAGATTAAAAAGTGTACTATTACTCTAATAACAAATTTTCCTTGCAAAATGTCAGAATATTTTCTTTTTGGTGGAAAAATGTCAGAATATTTAGTCAGTGGCATCGATATGTATTAAAAAAATTTATTTTGATTAGTTTTTGAAAATAACAAAACAACTCAATAATTTAAGACATTTGATAAGTAGATAATTTAATTGCACGAAAACAATTTGGGTGATATTCTGAGCGAGGGTGGGTTTGTAATTTCACATACCTTTATATAAGTGGTTTAAGAAAAAGCTTTCTCTTGCTTCATCCAGCTCTATGAACGACGTTACTAGCTCAAGCTATTGTGGGTGATTACCCAACTTGCATACACATCCTAGAGAAGAAGCTCGAAGAGCTCCTAATATGGAGGTATCAAATCTTGTGTTCATATTCTTATGTATATATGCACAATTTTATTTTATTTTTTGTTTGCTTTTGATTTTGTTTCGGCAGAATTGAGTTATTTTTTGGTGTTTCCCATTAGGTGGGGATGATTTTGGAGTGTCTCAATTTCTGGAATTGATTTCTATTTCATTTTTCAGTAGTTCATATCTCCAATTAGTGCCGGTTGAATGTGTTTATGGAGATTTGAAACCTGATGATTATATCGAGTAACTGAATGAGCAGAGAAAATCCTTGAGATTTCAAAGTTTATTATAATATGTCAAGCATTTCGATTTTGAGATCCGTTTGAGTTTTTGGTGGGACTTGGCAATACGCTTGTTGAGCATTCCAAACTCCAGCTACACACACTTTAATCTCCCAATCATCCCTGTTAGGAAGTTGTAATTCATTCTTAGAGATTAAAAAAAAAAAAAAACTAATCTATCAATACTTGGAAAATGGATTGAATTGTTTCAGCAGGTCTATTGTACAGTATATAGGTAATTTTTTATTTATTTTTGTGTGTGTCTGTGTGTGTGTTTTTGAACAGTTAGGAATTTGATTAGTCTTTTCATAAATTTTTAATAAACACCGCATAATTAATTGCAGTTCTCTACAAACAATAAGATATGAAAATCGATTAAGATTTTAATTTTTACCTTCTTGCAATTACTAGTGATCTGATAATAACTCGCTTCGTTTAAGTTTCTTATAACTTACCTTCTCCCAAAAGGTTGAACCCCCAACCCCAAGGGCCCCCACACCCTGGCCCGACAGAGCATTTGGGAAGACTCAATGGCTCAACAGACAGGGCCAAATGCCGGTGCGTTCAAGGGATTTGTCCACTTTGGGCATAATCCCCACACTGCCGCGCCGAGGTTCGAACCTTGGTCTCTTCTCCCAAATACTGTCTACTGAACCATTGAGCTAAGCCCGTGCGGGCTTCTTATAACTTATCTATTTCTGTGATTCGTAATTGTTGTTGTCATTTCAAATGCTGATGGACTATAAGGATTAAAAGAGTTGTTCCAATGTGTGCACTGAATGTTGCAAAAATAGACTCAGTTTCTCTCTGCTTCAAGTTTTTAAATATTTATATATGATATGATGTCAACTGCTTGTTGTTTGGTTCTCGCTGACATTTTATTATGGTTTTTGGGTTTTCTGTTGCATGCTGTATACTCTGAGTGCTGCCCCTTGGTATTTTTTAATGACATTTTATTCTTTAAAAAAATCATTTCTGGTTTTTATTGGTTAACACTGCCTTTGATCTAAATTTGGATTTGTTCTGGTTGATACCCCCCTTGGTGCCTTGTTGAATATATTTGGTGTTTTTTCATGCAGCATGTCTCTTCATTGGAGCCCTCTACAGAGACTAAAAAAAGTGAAGGTAATTTTTTTTTTAAAAAAAAATTATTTTTAATTTTTATAATTAAAATGAAGGAGCACAGTTAATCACTGCATTCGCCTCGAGTTTGATAGATCTTAAATAAATTTTTTCTATTGTGTAGTTGGTTTGGAAGAAAGTTTATGATTTTCTTTGAGATGTTCATATGTATTGAGCATTCTGGTGCATTAAACTCGTAGTATTCACCTGCTTCTTACCATTTTGATCTGTTAGCTCACACATTTCCTTCTTGTGGTAGTGTTTATATAGCCTAGTGAGAGTTGCTTTGATTATCTTGTGCTTTGAGCAATCAAACTAACTACCCATTTCCCTATTACAATCACATCAACGAGGTCAAACATATGAAATGGAGAAAGTTACTTTTGCTGTGAACGACACTGATTCACATGTTAAACATTTATCTGGGATTTTCTATTAATCTGGGAATTCAGGTAGAAGGAACTTGGAGAAAACTGGGTGAACGACAAAGGAGCTGAGTTAAAACTAGATTCCTTTGATAACTTTGAAGAGAATCTTGCATAAATATATTAATATAGGCAGATATATAGACACACACATATAAGCACATACACATACATAAACATATATATATGTGTGCTTTTATTCTTTGTCAGATATATAAACATATATACATATATGTGTGTGCTTTTATTCATTGTCAGATGATACAAAGACAAAGGATGCCACTGTTGCATCGGAGTATCACAGTAGCAGCATGAAGAAGGCAAGGTTACATTCGACACTAGGTGCTCTTCTTAATGATCCCATACTTGCCGATGTTCCGAAGAAACCATCACTTTCTGATGTAGACACTCTTATAAGCTTGGAACTTGGAAGTGCCATGCGCATTACCATCCTTAAGTTGGACAACACCTCAATTGGTACTTAAGATCTCTCCATTGTCAGCCTCTCATATGCATTGAATGATGGATTTATAAATGAATTCCTGTGTGATTTGAAGATGTGGCTGTATTGAATTCTGCAACGGTCAAAGACTTAAAACAAGCAGTTAGGAAGAAAATTGAAGAAATGGAGGATTCCAAGATGGGCCATCGTCACATTTCTTGGTATGTGGTGTAGAATTGCACAGCACCATCATATGCAAATTGATGTTGATTTACTGTCTGCTCATAATTCATTTTAAGAGAGCCCATTCTTATCTTTCTGCATATTTTCCTATTTGACCATATATTCTTATTTTGAAAAACATCAGACATACTGTTTTTTTTTTTTTTTTTTTTTTTTTTTTTTTTTTTTTTTTTTTTTTGTGGGAGTGCCTTTCTTTAGTTGAATTTCTTTCATCTGTATGTTACCCTCTTGTGGATTCAGCAAGTATCTTGTTTTTGTGATACATCAATCATACTCAAGGCCTAGTAGATGCTTGATGGTTACATTGATCCATGATATTTTAGTGTGCTTTTAACCGTTTTTACTTACCCAGAGATTTATTATTCTTGAATTGCAGGAAGCATGTCTGGGAAAATTTTTGCTTCTTATATCATAATGAGAAGCTGCTTGATGATGGTGCTAAACTTCAGGACTATGGTGTAAGGAACAATTGTGAGGTATTTTACTTTTTTTTTTTTGAGGAAGTGAGGTATTTTACTTAAAAACTCATAATAATCACTTTGGATAATGGATATATATAAACTTCTGCCAGTGGAACACAATTTTCTATTTTATTTTAACAAAATGTATCTTTTTATTTCTACTGTAATAGTCAAAGCTTTACTTTTTGCCAGCATTTCTCCTATCCAAAGGATTAACCCTGCGTAGTTGATTTGATTTAGTGGTTAAGTTTCTGGTCATGAATACAAAATCCTGGGATGAAATCTTACTGCCACATCCATTTGGGCCTAAGCATGCCATTTTCCCCACAAAATGGAAAAGAGGATAAATAATACTCGTAATAAACAATGAAAGGTTTACCAGCTTTTGCTTTGGGTAACACTTGATGATTTACAGGTGCAATTTATTCCCTACATTAAGTCGAGGGCCTCACAACGACATTCTAGGGGTAGAAAACACCGCTTCTTTCATGGTCTGAACAGAGTTGGGTGAACTCGGTACTGTTTCTCTGATTTGTTAATTTTATCCATAAGTGTGGCTAGATCACTCCCTTTCTGGGAGAAAACTTTGCTGTAAGGGCACACTCAGCTCTCTGGAAGTCTTGAATTATTATTTCTTATTACACCACATTGCTAGACATTGTTTTAGGATTTTAATAAACTTTGCACTTCTTGTTTATGATAGGCGGGCTGATAATGGAATCACGCTGGCCACAGGTAGTAAAGAAACGTAATACTGTGTTTTTACTATTCTACGTGCAATATTATTGTTTCTCAGTTTGGTTGCTTTTGCCAACTGATTAATTCTTGGGCTCTAATTTCACAGAATCCATGCAAGTTAGCACCAATTTTGAAGTTTGGAAAATAGAGAATGGGTCTTGTGAAATCCACCCTTGATGCCTAATCATACCTGCTTTCTCTATATTTTCTGAATTCTATAGCTGTTGTATGTATAAGACACTAGAGTTAACTCTGAAGGACTAAAAGCAGAAAAACTTCTCTTTATTCTTTACTAGGTGGTGTTTGTTCTATATCAATCCTGTGACCGCCATTTGAAATGGTAACAAAAGTGTCTCACACTACATAGTAATTGGTGCCTACACTATTTACTTAGAATCCCATTTATATAGAAATATAAAATTATTGATTGGGTACAGAGAATGGGACGGGTCTGAGCTCTCAAAACTTGTACTAGCAGCTTGGTTAACATTAGACAAGCAGTTTTAGTCAAGTTAAAAGAAACAAGTGTAGATCAACTATCGAAATTGTTCAATCTAACATTAGACTGATATAATCATAATTTCTTTTTACGAATCGCCAAACCACTCAACATTTTCGGTTTGATTATACAGTCCAAAAATGTTTTGGTCATTTTTTTTTTAAAAAAAAAAAACTTAAATTCACAAAATCCTTGTGGTCTGTTGATTAACCAGGTGGTCCAGGTCTACCAACAAAGCTATAATCGTTTGATAACAGTCGATTTTAGTTAGGTAGGTTATGATCATGGGTGAAAAAAATTGCTAGGCACTCCTTGCCCGTCCTTGGGCGCTGTAAATGTCCGTATATTTTTTATTTTTAAAAAATGTATTTTTTTTTAAGATTGATAATTATAAACTATTTAATACTTTAATAATTAATATTAAAATATTAAATATTAACATAAAAAAATAGAGTTTGAATAATTTAAGGTTATTCTACTACATCGTTTTGAGTGAAATAACTCATTTTAAAAAGAAGAAAATGATTAGCACGGCCGTCTAAACCATCGATAATGATAATATGCTAGGTGACCGGTCAGTGCCTATGCAGGATTTTGCAACACTGGTTATGATTTTTTTTTTTTTTTTTGAAAAAACACTGGTTATGATTTAGTTGGTTGATTATAAGATTTCAAAAAAATACCCTACATAGGTGTTGTTGGTGTAAATTACCTTATATTAGTGACCCCAACATATGATTGTCGGGGTTTCTATATGAAATACACAAATATAATATGAGAACCATTAAACAGAAAAGAAATCTCTGAGTATGTTGCAAAATAATAATAATAATAATAATAATAATAATGATCTCTGAGTAGCTCCTAATTGAAGTAAAATAAAATATGTAATGAGTTTTCTTTAAAAACACACCTGGCCGTTGAAATAAAATTTGATTTTTTTTTATGAATTAAATAAAATTTGATTTAGTTTTGGATAAAACTTAAAGTGGACAGACCACTAACCAGAATGAAAGGGAAAGCAACAAATACAATTAATCCTAATTCCCAAGACAGAATAGGGGAGAGGTGAGTGCAGAGTGGTTCCTGCGGGATCCACATCCACCGTACCTAACCACTGTTTGGTATAAAATACAACAGAAATCGGTAACTTATCTTCTAAGACCAGTAACTAACACGCACCGCACCATCTTATTTATTATTTACGTACATATATGATATATGCCAACTCCCCCTCCCTCCATTCCCATCAGACAGCGTAAGAAGGATGAGAGAGAGGCTGGAAAGATGTGTACTTCTTCCCTTTTCTCTGGGATGCATCTCCGAGTCCAGTGTTGTGGTTCGTCGTCCAGACTGCCACATCAAGAGATCATCAGACCCCCAACTCTCACCCCCCTACCATTTAACAACTCCTACAAGTCTCTCTCTCTCTCTCTCTCTCTCTCTCTCTCTCTCTCTCTCTCAGCCTGTCATTCTTGAAAATTTAATCTTTCTGGTACTATTGCATGCAGGGACCAAAGAAGGGAGGGAGAAAGAGGACGAAGAAGAAGATGATGATGAAGATGTGCAGTCACTGCCCAGGTTTCAGAGACTCTTTAAGAATTTCAAGAACTTCTCTCAGTTACTCTGTAAGTTGAAGTTAGCCATTACTACAATATATCATCATCAAATATTATGATTTTCAACTTTTTTTTTTTGGTCACATTTAATTATTTTGACCAAATTATGCATCATATTTCCAGCTCCTCAAAGATTTTGGGAAAAACACATTGTATGATTTTGATTATTTTGGAACTAGAAATATTATGATGCATCTTATTTTCTACCAAAAATTTGATTGGATGGATTATATGTGACACAAATAATATTCTTGAACTAAGCATGAAAGTGACCTAATAATTATAGGATCAAAATTCAAAAGTGAGGAAGATCGAATGCACAGCAGTAATAAATATGAAATCTCTATTTACAAGTTGTGAATTTCGGATGACTAATTATAAAATCTCTAATGGAGATTAAATATTGAAAATCTCTAAGAGGCTGTTTGGCAAAAATTTTCTGACAATTTTGAAAAGATGAAAGTTTATTACTATGTTTGAAAGTTGAATCAATTAGAGACGCGATTCGTTAATATTATGGAGTATCTATTAACTGTTCCAGCATTTGATTAAGCAGTGTACAAGGAAGAGGACGACGAAATTGGAGATGAGGAAATACCGATAATGGAAGGCGGAGGCGGCATGGAAATCGGATTCCCAACCGATGTGAAGCACGTAACTCATATCGGCTTTGACGGCGCTGCAACTTCCATACTCTCCGTGAACTGGAGGCAGCCGACCGCCGACGTCGACTTCTTCAGCACCGGAAATGATTCTCCTCATCCTCCTCCGGCCGTCGCAATGGTGGCTGCGCCTGGTGGTACGGCGGCATGAGGGTTATACTATTGAATATTGATAATGAGAATACACTACCCTCGAGCAACGCTCCCGGATTCCTTTGCCGGAAGAAGTTAATCGATCGATCTCCTCAACTGTCTATTATACCAATGCCAAATCTGTAAACTGTTATTAACCTCCCCATGGCTTATTGATTGATAGATGGATGAACTCATCACTTTCCCCATTTGGTTTCGTGTTTTTAGTGTAATAACTAAAATTTCCCCCCAAAAAAATGACTGTATTTTCCCTTAAGACAAGTTTCCTCCATATATATAGAGAAGAAAGTCTAAAGGCTGGTGGACACTGCACAATACAATCTCATATACTTTTTGAATTATACCACACATTATTGATAATATTTTCAATAATGTTTGATACAATCATAAATTTCATTGCCCTCATCTCCAGAACCCTCACATCCCGACTGACAAGATAATGAATAGATAAATCATACAGATTCAACGGCTCATTAAGTGAAAAAATGGGTCAATCAATGCTGGGAACCCACCACATTGAGTATAACTTTCAGAAAGTTTCCAATCTGAAATGAAGAAGCTGATACACATTAAAATGTTAGATGTAGGATCAACACAAACTGCAGAAAACACTGAACTTTTAGAGGCTATATACATAGACCTTATATATAAATAAAGTACATGTTACAACCAAGTGCCATTATCATCTGTATTATATTAGCTACTCTTCTACACAATTTAACTCGAAAAAGAAATGAACAAAAAGAAAAGCTACCATGTATGTGAAACGCTTTCCTACTTTATATGCTTTTTCCTATTCCAACATCAGATTCAGAAATCTGATTTCATGAGCGGCATTCGAGGCTGTATAGTAATATTGTCAAAGGGAATCACCTGCTCTACATGGATGTAATCTTTCGTTTTAAGAACCTGGATAAAAGCTAATGAGTTAGTAGAGAGGAACAAATTGTAAGTCGCCAATAAGTAAGAAATAGACGAGATAATAAAGGATATGGGGAAATGGTTGATTCAAGAAATTTGAACATACCAAAGCTTCAAAAAACATCCTTGATGCCTCCTTGCGTTTTTTACCAACCAGAAGACTATCCATTGAAAGAGCGTTCCTTCCATATTCTGCTTCCTTTGTAAGAACAGTCTGGAGAAACTTCGCGACAGCTCTAAAAGACACATCAAGTTAACAAATTAATCGGTTTTTTTTTTTTTTGGCACAAAAAAGAATACTAGTATCACTACTAATCACTCAGTGTATAGCCCAGGTAACAGAGAGAAAGAAGAATGCAGGTGAAGGCCCCATTGGCTCAGGTTATGGAAACAGTACAAATAAGTGTATATGGCAAAGCTAAAATGCAAGGATTTTTCAGAGACAACTCCAAAGCATTCTGTGTACTATAGTGATTAGAGGGCTTTCAACATGCATAGTAATTTTATTTACAAAATTTGATCACTGAGGTCTGAGGTATGAAATTGGCCTGATGAATCAATGATTTTATAACTTTAAACTAAGAACATAATATACTGCAACTTTTATTTTAAATAAAAAAGAAAAGAGAAGTTTTGCAACCATGTAAGAGTATTCAAAAACTAAGGAAACAAAATGCATCACACATCAAATTATTATTAATGTCTGGTCTTTTCAGTTAGTCTGAAGAAAAACAAAAATCATAAGCATCAGAGAATAATATATCAGGTTCCAAGTACCTAGTACGGGTAGACCATCCACTGTTATCAGCGAAACGAGTTCCTTCAGAATCAGGAATATAGTCATCAGCTGCTTCAGTTTCGTCCTCATCATCATCAACATTTAGGAACTCTGCATATCAAGAAAACAAACATCAAGGACACAAAATAAAGAAAGGCTGAAAGGAGAAGGCAACGATGAGGAATTTTAATTCCAAGTACTAGGAACAGTAGCACAAGACAAAAAAAAAAAAAAAAAAAAAAAAAAAAAAACCTGTGTCATTCATAGCAGCTGTATAATCTGAAACCTGTATGAAGAAGCCAACAAAAAAACGAAACCATGTAAAAATCAAAGGCAATGCTATGAAGAAGCGAACAAACAAACAAAGAAACCAAGAGAAAACCAAATGCATTACTCCAAGGCAATTGAACCAGAAATAACTGCTTTGCCTCTTTCTGATGGGAAAGTGCATTAAAGAATGTAAGGTAGAATTATTCATTGAGTAACAGGGAGTACAGGAATGCAAACAAAAACTTTTCCGCATTACTATAAACCAGAACACAGTAGGCACACTTCCTTGGTTAACAAGCTTGAACATTATAGATCCTTGAATCTCAGGAAAATCTTTTGCATTTCAACTAGGGAGGCCAGACAATTTTCTTCTGACACAACATACATTTGAAACTAAGCACTCAACAGTCCACAGCTTGCAGTTAACTAAGCCTCAATTGTCCAGCCAAGAGCAGCTCTTCATGGACATTATTGGGGAAGATCTTTGTAATATAAGGTAAACTTAAAGAGTGAAATTTAAATCAGTGGATATTCTTTTGAACTACTGCCAGGTGACTGGTTTAGCTCTTTCAAAGAATAGTATACCTATGGGTATATCTCAACACTTCCACAACACTGTCATTTTCAATTTCAATCAATTTTCATAGGCAAGGGAAGAACAGTAAATTTAACCTAGCCCCAAGAGGGAAAATGAACTGGAATGCTGAAGAATGACTATTGAAAGAACTTAAAATGAAGTTGAACTTACATTTGGATCACGCACCTCAACACCAGAGGCTTCCACATCAAACATGCTTTGAAGATAAGTTTCCTGTTGAGAAGGAACTCCTCCAGCATCTATGGTAGCATCTAGCAGAGTCATGTGATCATCTGCTGAATATAATGAGTCTACTGTTGGCAGTTCACCCCAAATATCATTACTAGTCAAGTTTTGAGAGTCATATTCTACATTAGTTGTCACTTCAACTGCAGGATCAACTTGGGCAGTTTCTGACAGTGGTCTGCCCCCTATTCTAGGTTCACTTTCAATTTCTACATTATCAACAGTGTTCTGTTCTGGAAAATCAATAGCACTGAGTAGTTTATCATTGCTCAAATCCATCATTGTGACATCTTGACCACTCATTACATGATCAGTTGATGCCAGAGATGCATCTATAAGCACAGGAGCATCCATCTCTTTCGACTCATCACAAGAATCTGTAATAAGAAGGCCAGTCGACTCATTGTTTCCATTGCCTAAAGCATCACCACTGGGGAATGGCAAACATACTCCAGCTGAAGAAGCAGAATTTGCTGCACCAGCAAGTGAAATGTTTGTTTCCTCATTGCCTGTTGCAACTGCATTTTCTGACAGCTCAACTTGAGTGGTATGAGCTTCTGCTACACTAGCTTTGGTACCCATTAGCATTTGGGTGGCATCATTATTATCTAAATCTAGGTCATAGCTTTCAACCTGCTTGTCTCTAGCAAGAACAGCTTCTACATTACAACCATCTCCTATTTCAAAAGGTTTGTCACTGCCTTCAGTCCAGTTTTCTGTTGTGACTTCTGGCCCATTTAACTTGTTAGTAATTTGTATGTCCAAGTTCTCACTATTTCCATCATTTACAGACGTTTCCTTGTCAGTTACATTTTCGAAAGATGTACCAGTTACATCATTTTGTAACACTTTGATTCCTTCCAAGTTCTCACTATTTCCATCATTTACAGACGTTTCCTTGTCAGTTACATTTTCGAAAGATGTACCAGTTACATCATTTTGTAACACCTTGATTCCTGTCAGATCAAATGATTGCTTGTTCAAGCATACCAACTTCACTGAGACACCTAAAAAAGGACAAGAAAATTTGTATCATCTTTTCAGAAAATATATTTACAGAGTGCATTACAAAAAAATAAACAGCAGATATTGGACAAATTAGCCTATAAGCCTCCCTGTTAATCCTAGTATGGTTTGGGTTACATTCAACACCTGGGAAAGAAATGGATCTATTTTAGTTAGGATTTAATTTGTATAGATAAGTTTTAGAGGGGTTGTTTGAATACCAAAACTAAGTGAATTTCTCTGTACATGGGGTTGCAACTCCTTTCTCTGTTACAAATTTACTTGTCAAAAAAAACTAAAAATAAAATAAAAATAAAGGAAAAAAAATCCATTTCCAGTCAATGAGAAGTATCAGGATAAATTAGAGCTGAACCCGTTCTAGTTTGTAAAGCTACACTCAATCATATAGTGCTTCAGGTGTACTAGGACATCCTCCTGTATCTGATCAAATTTTTTTTTATCATGCATGTATTGCCTTGTACCAGTAATGCTACTTGGTTAACTGAACTGGAAGAAAAAATATTGAAATTATACCTAAAGTGCCATTTACAAAAATGCAATCATTCAATAATAAGAATGCCAATTAACAGTACTGGAATACTTAATTTGGGAAGCCCTATTGCAGTTGGTTTTCATAGCCATTTGGACTCTATTTACTACAATATTTGGCATATTTAGAAATTTCCACATATGTGAGGACCCATTTTTGTGGTGTATCAAGTTATATTGGTGATTAGAGAAAAGGCTAGTGAGGGTGTTCTATTGCTGTTTGAAAAACTAAGGTACTGCATTTAACAGTAGTTTCGCAAACTAGGGAGGATTTCTATCAATGTTATCCCAATTTTAAGAAGATGATAAGTCAGCCATGACTACAGTCCTGGAGAAAATTTGCAAGGGCTACACAGAGAGTTAGAGAAATAAATAAACAAGAATGCATACCAGAACTTAACAACAAACACAATTTACAAATATGGACAAAGATCCATATTAATTGATAGAGATGAAAGCAATAAAAGGAGTCATATGCCTTATAGTTAACTCACCAGTTAGTACTGGCTCACTGAAAACATCATCTTCCAATAGCTGTTTCTGGATCACAGAAATTTCTTGACATGTACAAGGAGCTCTCTTGCGTACACGACGTATGTCTTCAGTATTTGTCAGTTGCTGCCTTATAGTACTGTAAAGAAACAATTTATGTATTTTGTTATTAATCCTAGTGGCCAACCTTAATCCATGTTAGTTCTTGAATTTTGGTCATAAAATTCATTGTAGAAAAATAGTTAGAATACTTTAAGAAAACCCCAATGAATAATGTGGCTATTTCAGCTACTGTGAATTTGTTTGACAATAGAAACTTAGCATCAGCAATGGGAAATCCCACCCATTCTATGCATACAGGTAAAGCAGATCAAGTATAGAATCAAGTGAAGATAGTCAAGGAAATAATTAAATTGAATAGAAAATAAAGGACAAATCTTTGATGAAGCATTTCATGCACACAGTTTAATCTAGATTGAAGCATTTTATGATTAGAGAAAGAAATGATAGCCATGCTTCACATTGTAGACAATTATATATATATATATATATATATATATATATATATATATATATATATATATATATTTCATATCCTTGGTGAATTGAATGTCCTAATTTGACTAGGAACAATAGTAGAAGAAAATTGCTAATTGTACTGTAAGCATAAAGTTAATCACAATTATGCATTAATGTCACAAAAAATGAAACATACTCGCCATGCAAGACCATGTTGTCATCCATAAGCACCTTCCTCTTAGAAGTACTAGCCCGAGGAGCAATGCGTGGACGTTTGCTAGATGTAATCTCACAAGGTGGAGTAGGCTTGAGTTTCAGAGCTGAAGATCTTTTCCCGGCTGTAATGTTACAACATGCATTACAAGAGAACAAGATTTTAACCAAAGTCCAATCATGTGCAGTTGAGTGCTTAAGCTAAACACTAGCATAAACCCAATTAAAAGAAAAGCGAAACATAGAAACACTGCTTACCTAGTATGGAAGACAACAAATCATCATCATCAGGAATAAATCCTGTGGTTCTAATGGAATGGGCCATCCTTGATGATTCAAACGAGTTTAGACTTTGCTCTGTTAAAGTGCTTTCAGTGTAACTACGTTTTCGTCCTGAAAAGAGATTATTAGATTCAGCAGCGTCACTTTCATTGACCTTGGTCAACTCCCCTGGTGTAGCCTCCTCTAGAACACTTCTAGATAAATCAACAAGCCCTCCTGGCACTGAAAGCAATTTCTCAGGGGCTGCCAGATCATGAGCAGAGCTGCACAGATTCTCCACTTGATCATTTGATGTAAGACAAACTGCATGATTGTCTTCACATGAAGAAGGTATTTTCATGTGATTGTCCTCAGAGATTTGTTCTACATTATCAGTTGAATGGCACACTTCACCTAGAAAATTGTGGGAACAAGTCACTAGGCAATAAAATTTCCTATAAGAATTAAATGCATTAACTGACTGACAAACCTCTGAAAGTTGTGGATGGCACAGAAGCACATGATGTCTCCTCTCTACAAGTTTCGGGAGCACAGAGACCAGAAACATCAGATGGCAACCTGGACTCGAGAACTGGATCATGACATGGTATTGAAGCATTGGCCTGGCTCACCTGAGTGTCACATGATTTAAGAATGTGAATTTCAGAAGATGTTAAATCACTGGACTTAATTTGTTCCTGACAAGTTATAGATTCCTGTACATTAAGTGATGTCTGATCACTTTGCAGAATATTTTCTGAAACTGAAAGGTCAACACTTGTCAAACCAGGAGCACTTTCTTCCATACTAATACCATTGGGTATTGGACCATCTTCATGAAAGCCACCATCAGAAGAAACATCAACCTTTTCATGATTGAAAATCCCATTCTGCAAGTGCTCCTCTCTTTGTAGATCATCAGATGCATTAATAGTCTTATGATTCTTATCAGTTAATTCCAACACAGATGAGTTGACAGCATTAACTGTATCAACAGGAACAGAAGGTGTTCCAGATGCTAAAGTATTATCATCAGATGATGCACAATAATTTGAGATTCCAGGAGGTGGAAATTGCCCATGTCCTGAATGGAAACCATTCTCCTCAGAAGGGACATCTCCACTGGGATTTGTGTCACTGTGCAAAGACAAATTCCCCTGAAGGCTACTGCCATCATGAACATCAAGTCCTTGAGAAATACTTCCCAAATTTTCTTTCATGTCTGATTCTGTTAAATGCTGACATTCTGGTTCCAGAAGATCATCGCATGCCGAGGTCTCTTGAACATTAGATAAATTTGGCTCTTCCACCAATCCTGGTGTGTCAGGGGCCTGAGCATACTCCATAAAATCAGCATCTCCATCAGCACCATCTATCTGCTCAAGAAAGAAAAACCTTTAACTAGATGCAAGAGGAGAAAAAAATATATATTAAAATGCATCAAGCAAATGGGAAAAGGCAGCCATTTTATATTTCAAGTAACTCCACAGGTCCAATTACCATGCACTCTGAGTTTGCAGCCAAAGCATCATTAAGTTCATCTTGCTTCAGAGGAGTCATTGGTTCAGCAGATGCTTGAGGATCAGTACTAAAATCAGAAAAGAAAGGAAAACAAAAGATGACATCAAAAATGTGTATACTAGCAATTACAGTAGCATTAAATGAATCAGAAAATGCCTTGTAAACTTAATTTCGTAATGAATGGCAACAAATAATAGAATATGATATTGACCAGGACACCAATGACCTTCCTTATTCATACGACAATGGATTTAACTCATTTAAATGAGTACAGAAGAAAACAGCTTCCAAGAAAGGACAGAAGTACAGAGCTAGGTAGCTAAAAGGTGCAATTATTGTAATGCTAATACATATTGAAAAAGGTCACATAAAATATCAATAGAACACCATTGCATATTATGTCATTTAACAATTATAAATTTCAATACCATACTGGATTATAAGTTTATAACAACTCTGGTTATTGATTGCAATGACGTAAACCGAGTCACTAAAGTCTTGTCAAGAGCAACATACTTAGTGCTTTTTCCAGTCCTTATACCATAAAATATTGCAATGCTTAGTTTGCCCCAGCTTGCAGAATTAAAAAGCCAGGACCATCAACGGATGCTAGAAAGGCATTGGCATGGCAAATGTCTACCCCTCCCAAAAAAAATCATGGGGGCAAAAAGAATGTAGTATAGGCATGATCTAATAGATAACATTAGATTATTAAAAACCTTATATTATTATATTTTGCTGAGACGGTGAGAGGTTTTAGAAATTTAATAGTAACATGAGATTAACCTTGGACCAGCATCTCCTGTAGCAGCAAACTTGTCCAAAAGTAATTCCTGTATCCCAAAAATATTTAATCAGAAAAAAAAAAAAAAAAAAAAAAAAAAAAAAAAACAAAACAAAACAAAACAAAACAAAATAGGATGGCAATGTAAAGTGTGTATCTAGGGTGAGGATGTATGCTAGAAGAGAGGAGTAATATATTACACCAACCAATATCCAAGTATAATGGATTGTCCATAGGGATGACACCACAAGGAAAAAAAAAACCCTTAGTAAATGTCTACATTTACAATTATGCATTTATGATTGTTAACTATGGGTGTATTCAGTGCAATTTCAAATGCTAGTGCTTTAGACATTTAAGCTCAATTTTTCAGTATTTGTAGTACACTAGTACTGGAGTTATGATTGTTAACTATGGGTGTATTCAGTGCACTTTCAAATGCTAGTGCTTTAGACATTTAAGCTCAATTTTTCAGTATTTGTAGTACTGGAGTATCCTTTGTAAGAGGAACATTGCAGACCTCAAAGCATGAACCAGTAGAAATGTGTTGGCAATCTAACATGCAAGTACGCAACTTCAACTATCTTTTCAAAGAACTCTTCTAGTGGTTGAGCAACTCCATAAGTATTGTTACTCAAAAAGGTAGCACTAGTTCAATAGGGAAATTGGCGAAAATAGGAACAATTCATTAGGCGCAGACAAAAATAGGATGATTTTGAAACATGCGCAATTTTAGGCAAAACTAGTTTGAGTTAAACTTTCTCAGGAACATTTTCCCAAATGCATTTGATGCTTTTTTCAAATTGCATTTTCAGCTTTTTTGGAAAAATGAAATAAAGCAAAAAGTTTGGCCCAGAATGTAAACATTCAAAATATACTGTATTATGTATTTAGAATTTAATTTTTGCTTTTTATTGCCCAACGCATTTACAAAATGCATTTGGCACAAGGGGAAGATTTCCTATGTTGCTGCTTTGGAAACATCACAATACGCAGGCATATGGAAACATTTCCTCTATTATTAATGCCACCGAAATGTCTAGGCAAATAATGTCCTCAGAGAGGGCGGTACAGCAGCATTGGAGATTATCGTCGGCTAGCAGCAGCAGTTTAAGATTCTTGAATCCCGAGAGAATTGTCAACAAGAGTGTAATTGTGTGTGGTTGGAGATGTACTGAGGAAGCCGAGTAGGGTGTATGTTATGTGGAGTTCTTCTTTTCTTTTCTTTTTGAGCCAAACGCATTTGGTAAACACATTTGACATTTAAAAAAAAAAAAAAAAAAAAAAAAAGTATTTTAGATATTTAAGTTTTGGGTCAAACGCATTTGGGAAATGCGTATAGCCTTATTTTATGTTTCTAAAAAATGCCTGAGATGGGATTTTCAAAAAACATTAGAAAAGTTTGACTCACACATTTCCCAAAATAGTTGTCTAAAATTGTCTAGGTTTTGAGATCTTACTATTCTTTTTCCGGGCCTAATGAATTGTTCCTTTAAAAAAAAAAAAAAAATCCCAATTAGATAACAATAATAAGAATAACAACAACAACAATAATAATAACAACATCAACAGTAATATGAAAGAGATGAAAAATCAAATATAATTAATTACATATTACCTCATCAAGGTCCAAACCTGAAGTGTCACCGTCACCGAACCTCTCTGAGAAGAAAGCATCAAAGTTTTATTAACAAGCTGCTCAAGGACAAATGCACAACCATCATAGAGAAACGGCCATAAATATGTCTTTGCCATGTCTCATGTTAAAGTAGTACATACCATCCAGACCAAATTTAGAAGTGGAGTAAGTGACACCCTCCATCGTATCTTGTAGCGTGATCTGCTCCCTTGAACTCACATGATGATCTACATAGTTACTGCACAAATTGAGAATTGAATGAAGATGTTTGTACACCCTATTGAAAATGCAATAGTACTGTGAAGCACTCAATGGTTCTAGTTCACTGATGTTATAACTCAGGCACATATTCTAAACTTTAAAAAAAAAAAAAAAAAAAAAAAAATCATTGAGCACTGTTAGAATCTAAGATTGGCCGAGATCACTCAATTGGGTTGTAATGCACATCACATTAAAAGCATGGTTGAAAAATTCACTAGCCGCTCATCGGGCGCTCGGGTGGCGCCGAGTGCCTAGGGTGCCTAGGCGGCGATTAATCCGCACCTAGGGACCTGTGTATTTTTTATTTAAAAATTTGTTTAAATTTTTTAAGACTTGAGAATTATAAACTATTTAATAATATAATAGCTAATACTAAAATATTAAATATTAACCTAAAAATATCTAAAGTTTGAACAATTTAGGGTCATTTCGCTCAAAATAATGTCGTTTTGAGTGAAATAACTCATTTAAAAACGAAGGGAATAATAGCTAATCGGCCGACTAGGCGGCCTAGTCAGTGCCTATGAGGCCGCCTAGCCGGCCATCCGCCTAGACCACCGATTATGGTGATACGTTAGGTAGCTAGCCAGCGCCTAGCGCCTAGGCACCGATTAATCGGTGCTTAGGCGGGATTTTTGCAACGCTGGCGTTTCTCTTAATTAGCTAGCCTGATGTTTTGCAACACTAATTTTTTGCAACACTGATGTTTAAAAGAATTCGATCAATTAGCTAGTTTAACACATGACTTAATAAGCCCATATGTTTCTCTTATTTTTCAATGTGGAACTCTTAACACTCCTCCTATAGTGGACAATTAGGCAATTTTGAATCAAACTGGTTGACCACTTGCAATTGGGTTGGACCCTCTCCTAAAAGGAAAGCTTTGGATGCCACCAATACAATAAACAACCGGGTGAACTCAAAGTGAACCGAACAAACTTGGGATTGGACCCTCTCCCTAAAACGGAAGCTTGGACACCACCAATACTATAGACAGATAATTGGGTGAACACAGAGTGGACCAAACAAGCTCTGATACGATGTTAGAATCTAATATTGGGTCAAGGTCACCCAACTGGGCTATAATGCACATGGGTCAAACACACTAAAAGATTGAATCCAATCAATTAGCTAGTCTAACCCATAGCCTTATAAACCCCTATATTTCTCTTATTTTTAATGTGGACTCTTAACAAGCCCCAATGGATTTAATAATTCCTTCATATCTAAAGTCTAAGCAATAAAACAGGGTTTGAACAATAGCTAAATTAACAGCCATCACACAGCAGCAACATTGATTTCTGCTCATCTTTTTGTGAAATTTAAACAAAAATATCATGGAAAAGCAAATATCTTGGAACAAACCCTTGAAAAATGTCATTGTCAGGCAGTTCAAAATCATCAAGTTCAAAAGTCTCTGGCAATGTGATAGAGTGATATGGTGCCTTTGATTCTTCCGGGGGTAAATCCACAGCAGTTGAGCGAAAAGCTTGTTTTACCTTGAGCAAAGCTTCGCTACAATCATCAAAAAGGTAGTTCACCTTTCTAGAGTATATCCTCACAACGCCAAGCAAAAGATGGCTAGATAAACGGAGAGCGATAGGAACATCAGGAAAAAGAATAGAGTCTGTTGAGAATGAAGAAGTACAAGTAAGCATCAACGAAGAGAGAATGTTAGCAAAAAAAATTTTTAAAAAAATGGATAGAACGTCTCTGCATATACGGAGTATGAAAATACAAACAAAACAAAGCCAATTTGGAGCCTGATAGCAATAAAGGAATAATAAAATGAAGCCATATAGAGAAACAGAAAATATCAGTTTTCCCGAATACTTGATACCATAAATGAAAATTGTTTCATTTCCTCAATTAAAAAAGAAGACTTGAATATTGAGCATCATTGCATAGTCACCACCAATCTTCATGCTTTGAGATTGATAATCATATAATTTACCATAGTTAAAGAGTCAATAAATGTTATTTGATTCAAAAGCATGCCTGATACCAAGACCCTAGTCTTCTATGTATGATAAAAGCCAATCTGCACTTGAGTGAAGCACTATAGTAATGCAGCCAAATACCAAGCAGGGTGGTGGACCAAGCAACAGCCTCCCTCAAAAAAGGGGGAAATAAGAAGTGGCAACATGTCATAATTAAATAATGTCTATCAATTTCTATGCATCTCAGTTATCGGTAACAAACTACACCAGGTACTCTTTGGGAGAAACAGAACTCCTAATCCCAAAAGAAGACCACAAGATTAATTGGGAAAAGAGCAGAATAAAACAGCATATTGAAACTGACCTACAGAGTCGCCGATATCGGTATCAGCAACCTGATTCTTTCGGAGCTTCCTCTCCAAATGTGCAGCGATCCATATGGTTCCCAAAGGCCCCTTTTTTGCCAGGATAAACTGCGAATAAAACATTTCGTCTTTCTTTCTAATTCACTGCCCTATTGAAGAACTCTACAACAACAACAACTTCAACAGCTTCTCTATCGGTACATATATACAAAGAAATATCTAATTCTCACAAGAACGCCTGAATTTAAACCCTAGAGCTCAAAACTCCCAAAAGTCGTAGCTCAAAAACCCAGCTTTTTCCCCCCAACAAGTTCAATCTGGCCCGGGGCATGAAATGAATATCACCAGAACCCCCATATCCAACTTCAATCCACTGCAACTATCAGCTTTAATGTGCTCTGTCACGAATAGCGCGCTCAAATTCTAAAGATAGGGTTTTTAGAGCTAAAACTCATTGAAACCAAATTCCCCAGCTGCCACTGACGAATGTAAACCAGAATCTTTGCTCCAAAGGCTTCTTGAACCGGGAAATTAACGGCACAAACACGTTTACGCCATTTCCGAGCTGAGATCCAGCCGCAAATCAACTGTTTATACGACTATAAGATAAGATTAGTTGTAGTCTTGGAGACAGACAGAAAGGAGGAAGAGGTAGTTAGTACTGGGAAGTGACAGAAGAACTACAGAGACGAGATTTGGGCGTTAAACGGGAATTTTTAATTTGGGAATCGAAGGCGAAGAAGCGCCATGGTTTCAAATGTCAAAATTTTCCATTTTTCCCTACACTGTTGCGAGATTTGGAAGAGTGTAATCCAGGTGCACATACGTTATTCCCTTTTAGCCGTCGGATTACCTAGCCACGGACCAGATTTTACATCCACGTCAGCTTGAAGGGCGTGTATGGTAGTTCAGTAGACTTTTGTGTTCTACACTTCTAACTCAAACATCCATCATACTGTCACTTTAACAATTCACAATACACTTATCAAATGACTCAAACATCCAACCTTATTATTACATTATAAATATAACAATAACAATTTTAGAACACAATCAACTATTTTAAAATTGACTCAAGCAATTTGTAAATTGTAAATATAACAATTTTAGAACACAATCAACTAGTTAAAACAAATTTAGTGTAAATTGTAAATATAACAATTTTAGAACACAATCAACTAGTTTAAACAAATTTAGACTTATTTAGACCTTGAAGTAAAATAGTTAGCCTATAAACCAATTTTGACTTATTTGACCATTATTAACTTTTTGATTTGGTTAAGAAATTAATATAAATATTTGATTAATTAGCTTTTGTAACTCTAAAATATTAAAAATCAAAAAATTACTCAAAACAACTTTTTCAGAAAAAAATAAAAATTATATCAAACAGCTATCAACTAACAACTAATTTACCAAACACCTTTCTACAACAATCTAATGTTATCAACTAGTTATACACTCTAATTAACACAATCAGCTAACAGCCCTTGAAACAAACAAAATCACCCATTTAAAAAAAAAAAAAAAAAAAAAAAAACAAACACGACAATCACCTTACAAATAAAGGCTATATACAATGTAAAACACTAAAACATAAAATCATTCGAACTCAGGGCTCCAAAGTCCTAACTCAACCTAGCAGTCTAACAATCAAGCAGCAGAAAAGTTTCCATTTGAAATTAGAAAGGCATAGTTCATAGTTCATAGAATTGGCATGGATTGCGTAAGGCGTAATTTTACAGGTTATATACATATAAATAGTATTACAATCTCAAGTGTCACTATCACCTGCATTAAATGAGCTACTCTACACTATTTAACTGGGAAAAAAAAAAAAAAAAAATGGGAACACCGCCATCCCAACCACCCTCTCCCTCCAAACAAAACAAAAGCTATCAACCATGTGATGAACTGAGAACGTAACTCAGATAAAGTACAGTCGTGATTTTCCCTACTTTACATGTTTCTCCTACTTTGATGTCTGTTCAAAAGTCTGATTTCATAAGCTGCCCTCGAGGCTTTATAGTAATATCATTGAAGGGAATCGGCTGCTCTACGTGGACGAAATCTTTTGTTTTGAGAACCTATTCAAATGCATCAATGGGTGTGTCAGTCCATAGGAAAACATAAGTGCATGGCTACGGGAGATTTTATCAAATCCAACTAGAATAGTTAACATAACATACCAAAGCTTCAAAAAACATCCTCGATGCCTCCTTACGTGTTTTGCCAACCAAAAGACTGTCTATGGAAAGAGGAGCCTTCCTTCCATATTCTGTTTCCTTGGTAAAAACAGTCTGGAGATACTTCGCAACAGCTCTAAGAAAGACACACAGAGACAGAGTTAACGACTTAAACAAGATTTTATTATACTAAAAAATTTACTAGCCCCTTCCAGTATCTCTGCCATAAAGAGGAAAGCGTCGAATCAGTCAACATATAGCTCATGTAATAGAAGGAAAGCATGTAGCAAAAGGGTCCCTGGCATAAGGATAAAGATTAAAGCTAGGGCATTTAAACGAAGAGTTCATATGGTGGGTGTTGTTTACTACTTCTCAGGAAGCTGTAATTAGTTCGTCAATTATTATTAAATTTGATCTTTGATTGTTCTTGAATTAATTATACGCTCAGCAGATCAAAACTATCATTAGATAAATTCAAGCCATTGACATCAACTATCACATCATTCAGTAGCACTAGGTTTCAGGAGATTGAGATCTATATACAGTTACACTCATCCAGTCATATCAAGTGATCCTCAAGATTAGACTCTTGAGATTTGAGAACTAAAGGGTTTTCCACATTCTTACTGAATTTATTTACAAAATTTGACCAATACAAGAGAAGAACAGAACCTGATGATTTCATAGTGTTCAAGTAAACACACAACTCATGTTATTAAAAAAAAATAATAATAATATAATAAAGGCTTCCCAAAAATGTAAGGATAATTCAAGAACAATGAAATGAAAATTTAAGAAATGCACCACCCATTTTTAAGGCCTCACACACCAGTTAGTCTGAAGACAGAAATGAAAGCATAAGTATCTCAAAATATGTGAGGTTCCAAATACCTAGTACGGGAAGACCATCCACTGTTATCAGCTATACGTGCTCCTTCAGTGTCAGGCATATAGTCATCAGCTGCTTCATCCTCATCATCATCATCAACATTTAGGAACTCTGAAAAAAAAAAAAAGGCATGTCATGTATCTATAAAAGCAGGACGCCTTACTGAACAAAGCATCAAACTACCCTCGTAATAATCTTTTGATTTTCAGCACGAAGCTGTACTTCGTGGAGAAGAAAGATAGCCCCGCCCCACCCAAAAAAAAAAGAAGGTATTTAGCAAGGAACTTTAACTCTAATTACTAGAAACAGTAGCAATTGAGACAAGAACAAACCTGTGTCATTCACAGCACCAAAATAATTAGAAGCCTGCAGCAAGAAGCCAACAAGAAAATTAGCAAGCCATGATCATTAGAACAAAATGAAAATTGATAATCAAAGAAATGTTTCCAAGATAATTGAATCAGAAATAGCAGCTGCTATTGTGCATGGATAAATGAAAAGAGATGGGAGTTATATATATCAATGGGGCATAAAACCACAAGTTTATGTATCAATGTTTTGAATCTCTATCAATTTTCATTGGCAATGGAAGAGCTAGTGTCAAGAGGGAGAAGGAACCAAGTGGAATGCTGAGAATAATGAAATTTAATGAAGTCAAAGTGAAGCATGAACTTACATCTGGATCATGAAGCTCAGTACCACAGACTTCTGCATCAAACATGCTTGGGAGAGGAGTTTCCTCTTGAAATGGAATTTCTCCACCATCTATGGCAAAATCTAAAACAGGCACTTGAGTTCCAGCTGAATAAGAAGAGTCTAGAGCAGGCTGTTCACCACAGATACCATTAGTCAAGACCCGAGGGTCATATTCTACATCTCTGATATCTTCATAAGTTTTGACTTCAACTGCAGCATCAACTTGGGCTGCTTCGAATAAAACACTGCTCTCTGCTCTAGGTTCACTATCAATTGCCGTAATATCAACAGTGTTATCTTCTTTGACTTCAACTGCAGCATCAACTTGGGCTGCTTCGAATAAAACACTGCCCTCTGCTCTAGGTTCACTATCAATTGCCGTAATATCAACAGTGTTATCTTCTTGGAGTTCACTAGCATTAAGTTTATCATTGCTCATATCTGTCATTGCAACATCTTGATCACCCACATGATCAGTTGACATGCAAAATACATCCATTAGCATAGGAGCATCCAGGTCTTTGGACTCATCACAAGGAGCAGCAATAAGAAGCCCAGTTGAATTGTCACCTACATCACCCAAAGCCCCATTGTTAGGGTATAACGACCCTACTCCTGCTGGAACACTGTTTTCTGCATCATCAAGTGAAATGTTTGTTTTTTCAACGGCATTTTCTGAAGGCTCAAGTTGAGAAGCATTAGCTTCTTCTACACTGGCAGTGGTGCTCATCGGAATCTGAGTAGCATTCTCATTATCATCTAAAGTGAAGTTGTAGCTTTCGCCTTGCTTGTTCTCGACCAGGACAGCTTTTACATTGTCATCATCTCCTGTTACTGAAGGTTCATCACTACCTTCTATACCATTTTCTCTTGTGAGATCTGGTCCACTGAACTTGTCAGCAATTTGGGTGTCCAAGTTCTTACTGTTTTCATCATTCACAGAGGTTCCCGTTGGGTCAGTTGCACTTACAAAAGGTGTACCACTTTGATCATTTTGTAAGACCTTGATCCCCACCAGATCAAATGTTTGCTTGTGCAAACAACCTAACTCCATTGAGACACCTTAAAAAATAATGGGAAAAGAAAAAAAAGAAAAAACCCACCTCAGCTTTTCAGAATGTATCTACATTCTCTTAAGAAGAGACTAAGCATCATAATAACATTGGAAAAAGATACCTATATAGCCCAAATTTCCTGGGTATGCTATAACACCACTTCCGTATATACATTAACTGGAACACAAACTTCTAAAATTATGTCCAGAGTGCATTTGTATGATAAGACAAAATTAATGATGCTCCTAAACTGAACCAGACACATACTGTGGGGGTGTGCAGGGTAGGCAATAACAGTTTGGATATGAACATTGGTCTTTATAGTCGGGGCTCTATTTATTTTAGAATGTCCCATGCAAGCACAACTCTTTTTTTTGTGGCTTATCAAGGTATATGTTGGAGATTTACCAGTCTACAATGCATGGAATTCCCTCAAATACAATCTTCAATTATCAGACAGCACAATGCTGAATGGATAAGAAAACAGCGAATGGGAGGTTTTTTGCTGTTTGAAACCCAATAAATGATTCACAGAAGTTCTATAGCAATTTTAAATAGGAATATTTGGCAATGTGTAATGACAACTGCTTCAGAGAGCATATGCATAAACCATACTGGAACACCGAACACAAATCAGAATGCAGAAGAATGCATATCGGAATTTTAAAAAAGAGAGAGAAACTTGCACACATTTTATTCATATTGACAATGTCAGTGAAAAGTTATAAAGATGCTTAAACAGGAAGGCAGTCAGAATTTCTGCAAAGTTAACTCACCAGTTAATATTGATTCACTGAAAATTTCATCTTCCATTAACTGTTTCAGGATTACAGAGATTTCAGGGCATGTACAAGGAGCTCTCTTGCGTACACGACGTATGTCTTGAGTGTCTGTCAGTTGTTGCCTTATAGTACTGTAAAAAAGTAACGATGTGTTTCGTTATTAGTTGAAGTTTAAAGGTCATGTTCAATCCATATTTACTGAAATGTAGTCAAAGAATTCATCATAGAATATTAGCTGGAATACATATATAAGTAAATTAACAATATGCTACTTCAGCCACCAAATTAATACACACATGCATACACAATTACACAAAGCTTTAGCGACCTGTTCACCCATCGATTCAACGGATGCAAGCAATAACAGGTAGATCATAGAAAGTGACGTTAGTCAAGATAATAAAATTGAACAAGAAAGCAAACAATGATTCTTTGGTATATTCTACAATCCTAAAGTTGCAATGCATTCCCTGCATACAGTCGAGTATAATTTTAAAGCATTTGGTGATTAAAGAAACTAATGGTCATATTTCTCATTATAAACAAAATTAAAAGATATTTCATCAATTGCAAATTGAATACCCGAGTTTGAATTGGAACAGAAACTAAGATATCTGATAACCTCATAACCATAATTGTAGGCATTTTGCTAGTAATAACCATCATAGAAAATGAAACATACTCTCCGTGCAAAACCATGGTTTCATCCATAAGCACCTTCCTCTTCAGAGTACTAGTCCGAGCAAAGCGGGCGCGTTTGACTGATGTTATCTCAAAAGGAGGAGTAGGCTTAAGTTTCAGGGCTGAAGATCTTTTCCCAACTGAAATGTTGCAAACAAATATTTCAACAAAAACATTCTAGTTATTAATAAATAGAAATACAAGTGAACATAATTTATTCTCCAGTAGAGCAACTATGCAAATGCTTGCAAACAGGAACAGAAAAACTGAGCATACCAAGTATGGAAGACAACAAATCATCATCATCTGGAACAAATTCTGTGGTTTGGGAATGCATCATCCTTAATGAGTCAAATGAGTTCAGACTTTGCTCTGTCAGTGTGCTTTCAGTGTAACTGCGTTTTCTTCCCGATACGAGTTTACTAGAATTACGGGCATCAGTTTCATTTATCCTGCCCGAGTCCCCTGGTGTATCCTCCACTAGAACACCCCTAGGTATTTCAACAACCCCTCCTGGTACTGAAAGCAATTTCTCAGGCGCTGGCAGATCAGGAAATGTAGAGTTACATAGATTCTCCAGTGGGCAATCTCCAGAAATGACTTCATCCACTTGAACATTTGATTTCTGGCTAGTCTGATTGTCTTCATGTGAAGTAGGTACCTTCATGTGATTCTCATCTGAGATTTGTTCTAAATTGTCACTTGAAGGGTATTTTTCACCTAGAAAATTTATGGCCATAAGTCACTAGAAAACAAGAATTTCCTAAGTAAATACATTAACCAACTCTCAAACCTGGGACAGTAGAAGGATCTGAAGCATGTAATGTCTCTTGAGAATTTTCAGGATGATAGAGGCCAAAACCATCAGATGGTAACTCAGGATCAAGACGTTCACAACATGGTATTGATGTATCAGACTGGTCCTGAGCATTGCACGGCTTAAGGATGTGAATTTGGGCAGATGCCATTGTATTGCCAGAATTACTTTGCTCCTGACAAGTTTCTGACTCCTGTATATTGGGTGATGTTGGATTGCTTTGTGTAACACCTACTAAAGGCGGAAGGTCAATGCTTGTCAAACCAGGAGAAATGTGAGCATTTTCTTCCAAAGTAGTTCCAATGGGACTTGGGCAACCTTCATGAACGCCAACATGTGAAGAAATGTTAACCTTGTCATTGCTGGAAATCTGATTCTCAACGTTTTCCTCCCCTATGTGGTCATCAGATGCTTTAGCAGACTCATCAGTTAATTCCGGCAAAGGTGCATTAACTGGATCAACAGGAGCAGATGCTCCAGATGCTAAAGCATGATCATCAGATGGCACACATCCAAAAACTACTTCGGGAGGAGGGAACTGTTCATTTCCCGAATGGCAGCCATTCTCCTCAGAAGGTAAATCAAGAACTGCATCAGGATTTGCATCATTGGGTGAAGGCATATGGCCCTGAAGACTACTCCCATCATGAACATCAGCTCCTTCAGAAATATTTTGCAAACCTTCTTTCATGACTGACTCAGTTAAATGCTGATCTTCAGTCTCCAGATGGTCATCACATGCTGACGTCTCTTGAATATTAGACAAATTTGGCTCTTCTGCTAATCCAGGGGTGCATGGCGCCTGAGCATACTCCATAAAATCAGCATCTCCTTCAGCACCATCAATCTGATCATAATAAAAATAAATAAACAAAACCCTTCAATTATTCAACAGGAATGTTTGTTGAAAACACCTAGAAGACTTATGAAAATAAATTGTTCATTATGCAACAAGCAAAATAAAAGAGGCAGCCATTTTAAGTTTCAAATAACTCTACATGTCCAATTACCATGCTCTCAGAGTTTGCAGCCATAACATCATGAAGTTCATCTTGCTTCAGAGGTGTCATTGGTTCAACAGATGGTTGAGGGTCACCACTAGAATCAGTAAAAAAAAAAAAAAAAAGGCGTCATAAAAATTTCATGTTAAGCTGATTCTTTACTAGTACTAGTAAGAAGATGAATAAATGGCATGTAAACTTCACTTTGTAGATAAATGGCAGCTTATGATAGATAATGGTCTTGATGAGGACACTGAAGAACTTCTACATTCACACAACAGATTTAAAGGTGTACAGATGTGTTTTTATGAAGAAGACAAGACCGGTAAGCAATGAATATCCAAGTATCATGACTCATGGTGCAAGAAATTTAGCTGTTGAGCAAACTCCAAACAGAGCTCTAGTGTGAATGAATCATGTGATTCAGCAATTCAACTCCAATACCACACTGGATTATGCCAACTCTGGACACAGATCACAGTGATCTTTACTAAGTTGAGAAAGAATTATTGAGACCAACATATTAGTATTTATTTCAGTCATATACTTTGCAATGGTATGTTAGCCCCAGTTTACAGAATACAAAAGCCAGTGCTATCTATAGAGGTCAGAAATTCATTGTTGACAGCTAGAACATATACCATGAATCATGATGGAAAAGCACAAAAGTACTACCACATAACAAACTGATAGTCTTAGATAGTGGCTTCATTAAAAGAAGCACTTAAGTGTAGTCCATACTCCATATGAAAAACTATAGTACAGGTATGGTCTAACAGATGACATTAGATGGTATGTAGGAAGAAGAGGGAGGAGGGTGGGGAATCAAGGGTTGTTGGAGAATTGAGAGTAATCTGAGACTAACCTCACACTGGCATCTCCTGTAGCAGCAACCTTGTCCAAAAATAATTCCTGTTTCCAAAAGATTTAATCAAGATGGAGAACAAAAAAAAAAAAAAAAAAACAAAAAAAACAAAAACAAAAGAAAAATAACAAGGACTTCTCTGGTGGTTGGGCAAGAAAAAAAAAAAAAAATATATATATATATATATATATATATATATACACACACACACACACTAGTATTTTTTTTATGCGCGATGCGCAAAAAATAGGTGACCAATATTAGTACTTTATATTAAAATTTTAAATTTATTTAGATTTTAGATATTTAAATTATTGTAAATAATAACTAATGTATAACTCCAATATGTTTTCAAAAAAAAACATATAACTCCAATATATAATGTGTATATACTATTATTATTGAAGAAGATAAGAAAATATATGGTGGATGCATGTGCATGGTAGCAATAGTGGAAAAGATAACGGAAGTTATAACGGTAGGGGTATGTTTGTCCAAAATATAGTAAAGTACAACTTTTATAGCATAATGTAAAAAAAAAAAAAAAAAAAAAAAAAAAAAAAAAAAAAAAAAAAAAAAACTTAACGGAAAAAAGGGACATAAATGAAGGGTATAACATTCATTCACACTTATTATGTTTTTAGATATGAATGTTATCAGATATTACCTCTTCAAGGTCTAAACCTGAAGTATCACCATCACCAAACCTTTCTGCAAAGAAATCATCAGATTTTTATTAATGAAGTAAAATACAGAATACAGATGCATAAGCACCATGAAAAAAAAATGCCATAAATAAGACATTGTGTTTATCGTTATGTACTACATACCATCTAATCCAAATTTAGATGTGGAGTAAGCAACACCCTCCAAAGTATCTTGGAGGGTGATCTGCTCCCTTGAGCTCACATGATGATCAACATAGTTACTGCACAAATAGAGAACAGACTGAAATTTTAAGTACACAGTATTGGAAAATACAGATGTACTAAGAAACACTTTATGATCGCTGGCAGTAAACACCAGAGGTCCTGGTTTACTGATATTAGTGCAACAAAAGAAGATACTGAAGCAAACATACAAACATCTTAGGCACATATTTTAAACCCTGAAATAACTCATTGAGCACATAATGCATTCAGAGTTCAGACCATTCTTTCATGTCTAAGCTACAACAATAACTTAAAACTATTGTTGAAAGACAAATATTCTGAAACCAACCCCTGAAAAATGTCATTGTCTGGAAGTTCAAAATCATCAAGTTCAAAAGTCTCTGGCAATGTGATAGAGTGGTATGGCGCCTTAGACTCTTCTGGGGGTAAATCCACAGCAGTTGAGCGAAAGGCTTGTTTTACCTTGAGCAAAGCCTCACTACAATCATCAAAAAGGTAGTTCACCTTTCTAGAGTATATCCTCACAACTCCGAGTAGAAGATGGCTAGATAAACGGAGGGCAATTGGAACATCAGGAAAAAGAATTGAGTCTGTTGAGAATTAACGGCATAAGTCAGTTTCAAGTGAGTGATAATGTTGGCATATATCAGCAAAGAAAATTAACATGATAAAGCAAAATCAAAGTCTCACAAAATCAGAAAGAATATATCTGCATCTGAAGAAGAAGAATGAAGCAACGCCAATTTGGAGCCAAAGCAGAAACAAAACCTTATTTGTACATTCACGTATAGCCATATTTCAGCAAAGTGAAGCCATATTGAAGTCAATAGAAAGACTAGAAAGTTGGACAAAACATTGATTTTCCTCACTACTTGATAGATCAAACAGAAGTGGTGCCATGTGTCCTTCAGAAAAGGAAAACAAATAACAAAGACTTGAACATCCAAAATTGGTCCATTTTCACCACCAAATCCGGATTCTAATATGTCATTGAATGAGCATTTAATATGCAAGAGTTAAATGTTTAATTCATCTGTAAAACAAGTATGAGTTGCCCATCACAAGCTTAAAAGCAATCAATTCAGGCAACCCTATCCTAAACTAATCTCTGCAATCTTTATTTCACGGGGGTAAAAGAAGAGAGAGAGAACAAAAATCACAAAATTGAATGGTAAAAAAGCAGAAGGAAACATAAAATGGAAACTGACCTACAGAAACGCCAATATCAGTATCAGCAACCTGATTCTTTCGAAGCTTTCTCTCCAAATGTGCAGCTATCCATATGGTTCCTAAAGGTCCCTTCTTTGCCAGTATAAACTGTGAATAGAACATTTTTATTCTCTTTCTATTTCACTACCTCACCAAGCAACTCGTACAACAACAACAAGAACAACAACAAATTCTTCTCTTTATTGATACATATATACACGTAAAACTCTAATTCTCACTCTGCAGCCCAAAACAATCACAAACACCCAAACTCAAACGCTGAGAATCAAAAACCCTAGCTTTTTTCCTCAACCACTTCAATCAGGACCAGGGCACAAAACGAACATCAAAATAAATCCCATATCCAACTCCAATCCCAGTCCAGCTACGACCTCTAGTGTATCCCCCCACAAACAACTAGCTCAAATACTAAAGTTAGGGTTTTACAGGTAAGATTCATCAAACTTTGCAATTGACGAAACTCAAAACCCCTAATTGGCGCTTCAACCCCTTCGGAAATCGAAATCAGAACGCAGCAAACACGCGGACCACTCCTCTCCCAGCTGAGATCGAGCTACACCCTCTCCCAGCAAATGAACTTCGACACGCTTGTATACGCAGAGACGGAGAGAGAAACTGGCGGCCGGTACGGCGAGGACGAGTGGTGATTGCTACGAAGAAGAAGAAGAAGAAGAAGCGCAGAGATTTTGCTGGGAAAGCTCAAAGATTTTGTTAGAGTGATGACTTCTTGCTTACTGAATTTTGATTTTGGGAGTGAAAGCGCCTTCTTCGTTTCCAATGTTAAAAATTTTCGGGAAACGTGAGATTTGCAAAGAGAGGAATCCGGGTGCACCTCTGTCGCTCAATATACACCGTTGGATCGTATAGCAACGGATGAGATTGGGGATAAAAGTCAGCGTCACGACACGAAGTGAACCCGGATCACGGGGTCAGGAGCTGATCGAGTTCTATATTTATCACTCCGTATATCCTTTTTTTACCCCCTTGTAATTAATTTTTTTGGAAACAAATTACTCATTATTTTTCTGTCTCACTGTCAAATTTATAATTTATTGATTAAATTTATTTTTTATTATTTTTAAATATAAATTTTTTGAAATGTACAGATTCCTTACAAGAAAATATCAATCATGCTACTATTAATTAACTATATAATGAATATTGAATAATAACAAATGAGTTAATACCCAAAATTGTCCTCGACTATAGTAGTTTTTCTCAATTTTGTCCTAAACGACTTTGGTGACCTAATATCGTCCCAGACTTTTGTGTTTCGCTCAATTTAATCCCAGACTTTTGTATTTTTGCTCAATTTAGTCCTTCATTTGTTATTCTGTCCATTTGGTGTTAAATAAATAGACAATTCAGTAATTTTAATATTGGCATCTCTTTACTCATAGACATGTGAACTGCGAAATCCTTTTTTTTTTACGAATTACTCCCAGAATTACTCCTAAAACTGCGAATATAAAATTTGATTTGCAGGTCCGGGAGTAATTCGTACAAGAAAGAGGAATTTCGTACTTCACAAGTTGAAAGTAAAAAGAGATCAATATTGACATTACTGAATTGTCCCTTTATTTAACACCAATTTGACGGAATAACAAATGGAGGACTAAATTGAGCAAAACACAAAAGTCTGGGACGATATTAGGTCACCAAAGTCGTTTAGGACGAAATTGAGAAAAATCACTATAGTCGAGGACGATTTTGGGTATTAACTCAATAACAAATGTACCATCGCATTACATAATAGTTGGCTTGTATTTTAATAGTACAAAACTTAATATTATAAATAATTAAATTGTACATAACTTTACTCCAACATTATTAACCAAATCATATATATATATATATATATATATATATATATATATATATATATATATATATAATGATTATATTATTGTATCGATAATAATTTTGTTGTGACATTCTTAATTAGATAAATATAATACTAATCCTATACTCACTTTTTTTCTTCTTCTTCTTCTTCTTCTTTTGTTTATCATTTTTACAATCCTAATATCATTATCATGGTATCGAATAAAAATAAAAACTCCAAAATAAACACATTTCAATTTTAATCAACAATTCTTTATTTATATCTATAACTTTTTTCATTTTTTTTTACCTTTTTTTTGTTTGCAAAATTGACACGTGTATAAGTTTTGTCAAAAAATAACCCAAATTGATTTCTTGATTTATTTTAGTTTATGTTAGTATTAGGGTTATAAACGAGCCGAGCCGAGCTCGAGCCTGGGTAGGTTCGAGCTCGAGATCGCTAAAGGATCCTCCGCTTGAGCTCGAGTTCGAGCTTGATCTCAGAGCAAGTGATCCTCACAGTCGTGCTATCACTAACAAATTAACAATAATAATAATTAATTAATGAATAAAAGTAATTACCGACGGCGGCGATGGTGACCTGGAGATCTGGACTCTGGTGGCGTGGAGCAATTACCGCGACGGCGCCTGGAGCAATTACCAACGGCGGTCTGGATTGTTGAGGTGGCGTGGCATGGCGGTCTGGACTCGCGACGGCGGCCTAGAGGTGGCGACACACGACGGCGGCGACGAGTCTTTACAGTCGACGAAGTCTCTCTAAAGTCTGAGTCGCGACAGCAGTTTGTAAGATTAGAAATCTTTTAGGGTTGGGGTAAGAAATCTTTTAGAGATTTTCACTATTTAAAGTTTTAATTTCTAATTTCTAATTGTTATTTTTATATATTATAATTATATTATAGTATACTATATTACATTACATTATATTATATATATATATATATATATATATATATATATATATATATATATATTATACGGCTCGGCTCGGCTCGACTCGAGCTCGATTTTGACTGAGCTCGAGCCGAGCCGCTCGTGAACGGCTCAAAGGACGGCTAAACTCATTTACACCCCTAGTTAGTATTATTATTCATTCCCAACAATAAATTGTTAGTAGTATCATTTTACCATCCATATATATACACTTAGATTTTATATGTGCGATTCATAATAATATATCTCTAATATTAATACTCAATGTTAAAATATTAATTATATTAAAATATTTTTTAAAAATAATAGTATATATGCTTTAAAAATGTATAGTTGTAGAGATAATATTATATTAAAAGTATAGTTGATAATTCGAGTAATGATTATGGTATGATAAATTACTAAATATAATTATGAGAACATTTAACTAAAATATATATGAAATCAAACTTATGTATTATATTACTCTAATATATAATGTATACATATATTGTTACCATTGAATAATATATAATAAAAGATATTATATATGCATATACATGGTAATAATAATAAGAAAATATAACAAAAATTATAACGGTATGAATATTTTTGTGCAAACACATTTATAGTACAACTCTTATAACATAATGTATACAAAAATTAACATAAAAATGGACATAAATTGAGAATATATTATGAATTGAAATTTATTATGTTTTTAAATTTAGATAAATATGCACACATGATGTATGCATGTTATACCACTCAACATATTAAACTATTAAAACGTTAAAATTAATATCAACTAAAAAATTACAGTCTGTTATCTAAATTTATAAATCATTTTATTTGAACAAAAATAATCTTGTTATCTAAATTTATATATCATTTTATTACAACAAAATAATTTTATATATTATCTCAATTACACTAACAAGCACTGTCCGTACAACACTTTTCATCATCCAAACTTATTAAGGAGTATTTTGTTGTTGATGGTAACGGGGTGGGGACCCCCCCCCCCCCCCCACCCCCCAAACCCAATGTACAATGGTATAAATAATATTTTTTTTGGTGTTGAATAAAGTGAAGTATGGCCAAATTTGAAAGTTAGTTAATATTGTATTATAAAAGATCAAACCCCACCCCTCCAATGTACAATGGTATAAATAATATTTTTTTGGTGTTGAATAAAGTGAAGTATGGCCAAATTTGAAAGTTAGTTAATATTGTATTATAAAAGATCAAAATTGACATAAAATGCAACATTACACGTTTTGTCATAATGTTAAAGTGTGTTTGGTTTGATTAGATTTGAGAATATGAGTCCACATGGGTAGTTTAATTGTGCATTAAAGAAATTTATCATAAGAGATCAAATATTGAGTTTTACGAGCATATTTTAAAAATAATAGAGTTTTTTGTACGTTTTGAACAAAAGTATAGTATCTGTTGATCGGTTGAGCCAACATAATTTATCGATCCACAATTATGTTGATGTGACTAGGGTGAGCGATTCCACCCATTTGTCACAATATTTGAGAGTATGGAAATTATTGAATATGTGCTCTTTTTTATTTACTAAGATTTGTCCCTTTTTTTTTTATTGAAATATACTATACTTTATAATTTATATTGAGTAATAATTAAAATTGACAATAACTAACATTTATAATTAGTGTCATTTCTTATGGTTGATATATTACGATCATAAATTTACATGTGATCGGGTTACATGTTTTAACAAGTCATGGTTGTCAACCATTTTATGGTGGCACAACAATTACAATATGTGGCAATGTCAATTTGTCAATTGTATGCTAATTTTACAAAGTATTGTTTGGCAATTAGCAATTTAGTGGATATTGGAGGGGAAATGCACAACCAAATTGGTTGAACAGTTAGATTGGTAACCATAATATTTAAAGTTTGACTCTCTGTGGGATCTTGCTATTGGTCTTATTAGTTTGAGTCGGTGAGAGCCTATGAATAATTTCAAAATTGTTGATTACAATAATCAATAATCAATAATATAACAATATTAAAATGAATACAATAATCAATATAACAATATTAAAATGAATACAATAATCAATTTTGTTTCTTTCAATTTTATATTATTGATTATTGTAAACCCTAAACCCACTAGCAAAACAATTTCATTTTAATTATTGATTATTGTAATATTGTTATATTTATTTATATTTTTACAAAATTGTATCATTACATTATAGATTCATAGACTTTTATTTGATTGCACCAATCAATCTTCCGTTTAAACTTTTTAGTTATGGGATTGTTTACTGGTTAAATCCACTCATAGCTTATCAATTCAAATTAGGAAGACCGCTAAGGTCGCTTCCGTTGCAAATTGAAGGGTAAATCCTATCCATAACTGATCGACTCAAACTAAATGAACCAATATGTTGTTCCCGTTGAGTAAAATTTGTAACTTTATGATTATCAAATCAATAGCTCCATCAACTTCGCTAAGATTATTGAATTGGCAAGAGGAAAAGTAATATGAGGTCGAGATCGAGTCTTCACACACCGTAACCAACCGGAGGTTAACACTATATTTAAAAGAAAATAACAAACAAACAAAAAGATTGAAAATTGAAGCAGTCCAGACATCAGGTTTGCTGTTAGCCTGTTATCAGACAACTAGAAATTTACATATTTAAAACTGATGCCGGCTGGAAGTCTAAAATGCTAATACTATACACAATAAATTTGGAATTTGTTATTTGTATAACAAAACAGGCTTAAAAGAATGGGCATGTCCAAGGAGAACAGCCTAAAAAAATAGACTTGTTGAAAATTGTTCTAGTATGAGATTGATTCTCTGGCAGTTATTTATATGGACAGGCTTGGCTTGTACCTCCTCCGGACTGCTTCAAGGGCTGTGTATACTCTTAAGGTGGTCAAAAACATCAGATGAAGAGCCAAGATGCTGAATATCAGAGCGGTGGAGGAGATTTGCGGGGAGATTGTTAGAGTTGCTGGGTTTTTTACTCCGATGAACAGTCTTGC